TAAATGGGATATATGGTATCAATAGCATGAACATTGTACACAAAATACTAAGATGTAAATATTATTTTATCAGGTGTGTTATTTTACATTTTTTAGCGGTGGTGGATAATATGATGAAGGAGGTTTAGGCATTAAAACGGGAAAGTGGATTGATATAGTTGATGGATTTTATGATGATAAATAGGTAACATATAGTGGCGGATATAAAAATGGTGAAAAAGTAGGTAGATGGGACATTTGGTTTAAAGAGCATGGATATAATAAATAAAATAATAAGATGTAAATATTTTTTTATCAGGTGTGGAATTTTAAATTTTTAGTGGTGGTGGATCATATGATGAAGGAGGTTCAAGCTTTAAAACTGGAAAGTGGATTGATATAATTGATGGATTTAAATATGATTCTTAAGTAACTTATCAAGGTGAATAGAAAAATGGCAAAAAATTTGGTAGTTGGGATATATGGTATAATAATGGAAAAAATGATCAAAAAATGTAAAAAAATATAATATAAAACTTGAAATTGAATTTTTAGTGGTGGTGGATCATATGACAATGAAGTTGATGGTATGAAGATTGGAAAGTGGATTGATATAAGTGAAGGATTTTATAGAGATGGTTAAATAACGTATAATGGCGAATATAAAAATGGTAAAAGAATTGGTAAATGGGATATTTGGTATAAGGATATTGTTGGGTATAATGAATAAATGTAATATATTGAACATAAACTACGTATTTAAATTTTTTAGTGGTGGGGGATCATACGATGAAGAGGATAATGGCATGAAGACTGGAAAATGGATTGATTTGGATGAAAGATTTAGCTTTTCTAAGTAGGTAATCCATAAGGGTTAATACAAAAATGGTAAAAAAATTGATTTATGGATTGAAATGGATATAGAAACAAATAAATAGCTCAGTGCAATGACATATGATAATTGAAAATGTTATAATATAAATATTTTGCAATATAATTTAAAGAATAAATTGTATTTTTAAGGGTGAAAAAATTTGATTTATTAATAAGCTTAAGTAAGAATCCATAACTAAATCAGTTAAGATATCAGGCTTTAAAAAAAAAAAAAAAAA